CTCGTTGTATAGCTCGCGAATCTCCGGCGGCTCCAGCGGCCAGCTCTCCCCCGCTACGGACGACACGACTTGATGATTGTTTTGAAGACACCATGACTTGGCCCTTTCCGCAAACGCCGACCGGTACAGCATGAACGAGTTCATGGGACGAGTGATGTATCCATTCCTCTTCTCGACTTCGCGTCTCCTGACATCCGCTGGCCTGTTCACCCATTCCTCCATATTCTTGACCGGGATATGATGCAGCTCCTTCGTCAGTATGCTCAACGGCGCAGTCAGCTTGGGCGTCTTGTGCTTCTCGTTCTTCGGTGCTTTCGGCTTCTTCACTCTCGGTGTCGCCTTCCGTCTAGGGCTGGTCTCATTCAGGCGTGGAGAACTGGACGATGTTGTTGCTCGTCCGCTTCGAGTTGTCCTACGTCCGGAATCCTCATCGTTCGCGGATCTTGGGGTCGGTGGCGAGAACAAGGCTTGCTCGTTCTATGATCCATTAGCAATCGGGTCAGAGACAACCGGCGACATTGCTTACCTGCATGCCGTTGTACGGCCCGTTCTGGTAATACTCCGCTGGTGGACCATATCCCTCCTGTACCTTTATCAGCATGGTTACATGTGTGAAGACGCAGGGACTCTTACATATTGTATACCTAGTCCGAGCCCACGAGGATGGTTGTCGGCATGTGACGCATGTGAAGGGATCCCTTCGTGCGCCACCGAGCCTGGCGAGCCGTACCCTGTCTCACCGAACGAATAGCCGCGATCGACGCCATATTGCGCAACTGGATGCAGCCCGGACTGATGATCTGACCCAGCATTCGGTGGGGTCGGAGGATGTTGTTGGACGAGCGTGTCACCCCTCATCATGGCGAGTGTTGACGCACAAGTTAGTTGCTGCGACAGTGGAGATTGCGGACTGCCGATTGGCCTTGTTTCCGGACTCAACGCAACGCTTAAGCGATGGAGATCGATAGTTGAACAGAGCAAGCCTAACTGCAATGGATGGAATGACTCTTCTATTGGCCAAAGGCCGTGCAACATGAAGACCGAAGGATTTTGTTGCTGGTGGATACCGAGATGCGTTCGTTGGTCTCTCGAGAAGATGCTGGATCAGACTGTTCTGTTCCAGATATTGTACTGGATATGTGTCAGTACGTCCAGCGAATGCGTCGCTCTTTGCTGGGTTTGCTTCACCGCAATGATGCATAGCAGTTCGCAAAGTGTTCAGGGAACGAACCTGTTGCAGTTACCCGCTTCTCACCGGCACCAAGGCTTTGGTGCAGAGACAATCAGCGTGGACGACTATGCGATACCAACTTGCAAGTCAGACACCGCCGTACTGTTTGAGTTGTGTTGTTCCGGCCCGTGTCTCTTTGTGGCGAAGGCAGAGCTCGAGCAAAGTGTGAAGGGCAAATCAACGGAGAAGGATTCTTTGTCCGGGATCAGTCGCCAGAAGGTATTTGTAGCGACTACACAACCTCGAGGTCGACTGCTCACGTATGTGTATAGTGTACTTAGTCGTCTGAACATGGACAAAGGCACTACCGGATTGGTGTTGGCTGGGCGCGCTTGACACACTCAGACGTCGCGCTGCTTTTGGCCTGCGAACCTCTCAAGCGATGAACTACCTGCGAAATGGCGCAAGACCTAGCCTTCTGGTCCGTTCACGTTTCGAAGTCGAAAATATCATGTCCGTCCTGTTGTGGGGTTGAAAGCGGCCCTCAGCCCCTCCACATCGACAGCTATAGACGGAAGCTACTCTCAATCTAGGCGCCCTTCCTTTCAAATCGCCTACCCCAAGAAGCTGTCTACCAATCTTAGCAGGGGTGTACTATGGCTTGCAGCAGTCATGTGCACTGGGCGCTCGCTATAGCAAGCCACACGCTCACTGGTATCTTTAGCCTCCAGAACGACCCCTGAAATTATGTTCCGCCAGAACATGGGCTGCATTCCTGCACCAATTGCATCACCGGGGGCTCGCGGTACCCTTTCCCAGCAACCAATGACATAGATGGTACATGACCAGAAATCTTCCCAAGGCCGAACGTGGTTGGTCGACCAAAACTTGGGTTCTTTCGCTACGTAGTCAAGCCTGACGTGCTGTTCACGGATGGCTGCAGCCTTCTATGTCAGAACCCTGACAGCTGGTCATACTTGGCAGGGCTGACCACGACACAACGATTTCTAACATCCACACCGCACATCAAAATGCAACTACGCAGTCAATCTACAGGCGGCGACAAACTAAGCACATCTCAAACACTCGATCTCAAACACATTATCATGATTTTGCGGTCGCCGGACAAAGGGTAGGGTCGGTACGGCAATCCCGACAGGCTGGTTACGATGCGCCCCCGCGGCGAGGTTCAGGTCTGTGTTGACCGCTCAAGCTCAGAATAATTCCGTCCATCTTGCCTCTCGGCTATTGAACCCGAAATGCTGCAGCGACGACATTTAGGGTAAGCCCGTCACAGTCAACAGGCACTCAACGTCCTTCGGTGACAGGCCGCGGACATCTGGGCAAGGTCCTGCATATTGCATGCATACAGCAAAAGTTCGGTTGCTTCCGGTCGATCGTGTTGACATGGGGACCTGCCTTTGGAATGCGTACTATCGCCGTTTCGGCACCACGACCAAACAGTTACAGCCTTGTGCGACCAGGTTTGGCTGAGCCTCAAAGACGATAGTGATTGGTTCGAGCAAGCGCGAAACAAAAGTGGATACCACTGTCTGGAGTATTGCTTTGAACCAGGAGGCTTGAATGAGTTTGTACTGTTTGAGCATGCTTCTCCGACCGGTGTACCCAAGAATGAACGCAAACGGACTATCACCATGCCAAAGTGCTCTGGCAGTATCGTGGAGGACTACACCAGGACACATGATCGGTGGTCATGGTGGGTACAGCATTGTCCACTCGAGCTACTCGTAGCTACAGGTGTCGAGAGCATCATCTGCGCACGTGTGTGTGATCGACGCCGTAGCTGTCAATGTCTGCCTCCACTGACCCAACTTCTGTATTGCCTAGATAGGCTATATCTCCGTTACCTTCGCCAGCTATCGCAATTGTAAGAAACCATTTCCACAATTTGCCATACGGTGATCCCGTCGGCGGGCTAGAGAGATAGGATCCGCTGGTTCTACCCGTCATCGACCCGGATGTTCTCGGTCACAGACCTCCCCGCGCCTCCTTCCACTTTTTACAACGACTATCTACACCTAAAGCGCTCGGTACCTTGCAATAACTGCAAACCAAGAGATGTTGTGTTACCATTCCGCGGACGCTAAGAGTCAAGGTCAGCCCCCATTTTGCTGGAAGGGTTTGGCGGTTGAGCGGTCTACCCCACTTCCCAGCGTTGTTACCATGGGACGAGCTTCTGGCACGGGAATTCCGTCAATAGTGTGATCGAAACCACCAATATCATTGCGCTCGGAGCAAGCTACGCTCAAGCTTCGGCCCTTTTCTGCTCACAGCACGACAAGTGCCGCGCCACCGGCACACTCGCGTTGAGGATGCAGTTGCATGACATCTTGCACGCTGGAGTTGCCTAGTCACCTCAGGTATACACGCCTCCGGCACAAGGAAGCTGGCGCTGGTACGCTAGTATGCGCTCTTGCAGTAGGCCAACGGTCGCAGATCGATCCAGCAACTATGCCGCGAGGTACTCATATACCGATTGATGCTTGGGACGGCTCTCATGCAAGTATCGCACGATTTGCCTGACATTCTTCAATGTACCTTGATGAAAACTTACCCGTTCCAGAATGATCAGAAGACACGGCACAGTGGCACAGTCGACGAAGCTCCCGGCAAAAGCTTACGATATATCTATGGCGTCGAGGCAATATCCCAGCATGCCGCTCAGTAACGGGACGCCTCTGTCGCTTCTGGCGCGAAGGCGCTTATCTCGCGTAGTTTTGCCGGCTAAAGTAGGTGTAAGGTATGTGACGAGTAGCGCACCAGCATCAGGGCAGCACTTGTCACACAACAACACGTGCAAGATCGGGGCTTCCGCTCGATCATCGCTTTCCAACGGTGGACTAAGGTCGTTGTAGACTGAGCGCCACCGTCAGCCTGGTCATTCGCCTCTTGCTTTACCCCTCATTTCACGTCAAGGCCTGAATCCTTCTCCATTCCATTCGGCTAAAACGTCAGCGTCGCTCACTACTCCACTCATCTTATCTCCTTGCTGAACCGATGCGGCTTAAAGATGACATGGGTCTTTCCTCAACCAGCTAGCATCGTGTTACGCCACCCCATGGAGTCGGTACACGCTAGCACGTGATGTCACTAACGCTGCGCTCCTGTCGCTTACCCCAGTCGTTGGTTGACGCCCATCCACAACGGCTGCCAGCCTGGATGTGGGAAATGCTGAATCCTGTAGGGGTGGCGAAAGTGCATGTTCGCATTAGCTCGCATCTTCCTGCCCAACGTACGTTCGTTGAGCTATCTAACTTTGCATCACATTGCGCGAATGCGCGCGATATGAGATGGGCGTTCGTAGTGCAGAGTAAGGTCAGGGTATCCTCGCAGTACAATGTGCCAGTCATGCGGCGCACACTTGATTCAGTGGTTGCTCCTTCAATTACAGCTGTGAGGTCGACGACCAGTACCATGCGTTTCTGCTGATAGCAATTGCTTTCAATTCCCACAGTAGCAACGTTGACAAAGAGAGTACACTTTTCCTCCGTGAAAAGTCGAAACAGTGTCTCGTCAAATTTCACTATGTCGCTGGGAGAAAACCACTGCATTCACGACGTCGTTAAGACATTAGCACGTTGATACGACACGAGGAACACTGTGATGTGCAAAAATCCAGACGAGACAATGCAGTGATCGATCAATGAGACAAGCACGTAGAATAGTCATTCATGTAGCTGACAGAAAAGTTTGTTTGTACCAATAATTTATATCGCGACATCATATGAATCCCGAAAACGTGCCAGTAACCACGGCTCAGGGAATCAGTACTTCACTGAACGCGACTTGACTGACGGAAACCCGCATGATGAACGATACCAAACCAATGTCCTCTCCTGACCACGAAGCTGCGTCTCCGAAGTCTTCAGATGAAGAGCAGCAAGGGCCAGTCAGACCCGTAACACGAACGAATGCTTCGTCTTTCGCTGCCCCGACCAGAGCATCTGAAGCGAAGAAGAACGAGAAGATTGAACTTGCTCAGTATGGGAAGAGGTCGGCGTCGACGAGAGAAACTTCTTCGAGGCCGGGTAGTGCGATGCGGCAGCGTTCGTCTCCTGGGTTTGTTAGTAGACCGCAGAGTCGTCAGCGGTTGGGGGCTGGTACGCCCACGCGGGGTGGAGATGATGATGAGGTAGATGATGTTGATGATTATGTTGACATTGATGAGGAGGACGCAGATGACGACGAGGCAGACGATGAAGTGCATGATGAGGACGAGGCACGCGTCGATGATGACGACTCTAGTCAATTTGATAGCGATGTGGAAGACGAGAAAAGCGCAGAGGAAGAAGAAGAAGAAGCAGCGTCTATCCTGGGAGAGAAGGGACTGGAAGGAAAGCCGCTAGAGAAGGAGGATCTAGAGGAAGATAAGCTACAAGAGGAAATGCTCGAAAAGCAAGCACATGAGCAAGTATCAGAGCCTCAAGAAGAGCTGACCATACAGGAGCAGGGCCAACCGTATGACTTGGAGGATCTCTTGGTACAGGAAGAGCCACAAGAGCATCACGATGAAGATCCCAGTCCTGATGTTCAGGCATCACAAGAGCGCGAATCACCTTTGACGCAAGACGACACGGCTGCAGTGTCACAAGAAGACCATGGCAAGAAGGTGGAAAGCCAAGCCGCGGCGCCTCAAGACCAGATTGAAAGCGTATCGCCGCATGGTAATGTTGAAAAACCTATCGTTCCGCCTGAGATCGTTGCAGAAATACAAGAGCTCCAAATCAAACGCCAAAAAGTGGAAGAAGAGCGCGATGAGGCGATGAGACAGCGTGAAACTGTACTACAAGAGTTGCAAACTGTCAAAGAAGAAGCGACGAACCTGAAGCAAGAGTATGAGAAGCTATCTGTCCAACTTCGTGAGAGCGAAGCCAAGATTGCAGCGCGCAACGCACGCGAACCTGGATTACCTCCTCTTGAAGAAGTCGAAGCGGAGAACAAGAAGCTTCGAGCATCGATCGAGCGGACGCGGTTGGAACTCCAGGCGAAGAAAACAGAGGCAGAAGATGCGACTGCTGCCTGCAAGTCGTTTGATGACTCACTGAGGGAAGTGGACGAGAAGCTGAAGAATAACCAGGAGTCTATCCGCACACTCTGTGAAGTTGTCAACCAAGTAGCCGAAAACTTGCCAATGATCTCAAAATGCGAGACCAAAGAGCTCGACGCTGTATTCCTGAGTCTTTCGCAAGATGATGAGACTGGTAAACTGCGAGGTGAGTTTTTGAGATTGATCAAGAACTTCAATGGAGACTTTAAAGAGTTGCGGGAGCAGATCGAAGACTTGAAACGTGAGGTAGCAGAGAAAGAATACGAGATTAATAGTTTGGGAAAGACCATAGAAATCGAGAGGAAGGGGTTGTTGAGCCCCGGTCTACCAAGTCCGCATCCCATGCAAACTGGTAAGAATGAATGGGAACAGTACTACGAACGGGAAAAAAAGAAGCGCCGTGATGCAGACTTGGAGCTTGCCAAAGCGAAGAAACTGCTGTCACAACTCCAGCCCGAGAATGAAAGACTACAGTCAAACCTCACCGAGGCGCAAGAAGAGCTCGCAGAGCTTCGCCCCAAGAACGACCAGTTGGAAATGGAAGCCAAGACCTGGAAGGAAGAGCTTGAAGAAAACAAGGCCCAATTCGAACAACACAGTCTCGCACTCGAAGCGAACATCTCCGAGCAACAGCTGGAAAACTTCCGATACATCCGAGACTACTACCAAAAAGTCAAAGACCAAGCCCACTGGGAAGTCCAGGGTCTTCAACAAAAGCTCTCAGTAGCAGACCAAGTAAAGGAGGCACTCAAACGAGACTACAAGCGCGAACAAGGCGTCAACACGCGCTTGGAGGACGCGGTGATTAGACTGAGGAAGAGTGTCAAAGCCCGGGATATTCATATCGGAAAGACGGAACAAGCGTTTATGCGCGAAGCACCGTTTCCTATCCGTTCACCGAGTACCTCTGGTAGCCGCACACCTGATAGCGATACTTCATCATCTACTTCACCTTCTTCGATCTCGGATTGGACTCATCCGCTCGAACGTGTAAAGAGACCCCCTCTCATACCCCGCTGCCACCTCCCTGCCGCGATCCAAGCGCGCGAAGCCAGGCTAAAAACCTATACAAAAGAACTGGAAGAGGCGAGAGAGGTGGAAATCTTCAAGGCCAGTGTCAAACCACGCGGATCGACAGCCAGGGGTGGAACTATTGCGACCGACATCATGGATCAAGTGCGGAAATCCGGCATGGGGTCTTTGTATCCGGTTGAGAAAACGGGGTGGTTGGATACGAGCTGGAAGGGCGCGTGGGAGAGGTGGGATGGGAATTACTGGGCGATGGAGTTCGCGAAGGGGAAGCAGGTAGACTTTTTGAAGAAGGTGGGGGTTTGGCGGGAGGATTGGAATTAGTAGCATGATGTAAATAGCAATGATCTGTGATAGAATGCTGTATTAGTTTATTTTCCCAAGAAAGGAAGTGCTGTAAGAGTCCAAAGTAACAATTCGATTCGTTCCAGGCAAACCGAGCATCACACTATTCGGTAATTAATGCGCTGATAGCCGCATATTCCAGACCACTCAGACCGCTTCAGTGGTCTCAGTTTCGCCCTTCTCCTTCTTTGCGACATTGTTAATGGTGGCAAGCGCTTCTCCCTTGGCTTGCGCAGCAGCAACGTTCTCGAGGTCGCGCGCAAGATTGTCGCTGCCCTTCTTGGTCTTCCAAGCGTGTGGGCCCTCTTTGCTGAACAGGAATTCAACCTCCTCAAGAGTCTTGCCACAAGTCTGTCCGAAGAGTTAGTTGAAGTCGTGATAGAAATTCCAGATTTCCTTACCTCAGGGTAGGTGAAGAAGAACTGGACGGCGGCCATAAAGCAGAGGATTCCGAAGACGAGGAAAAGTCCCCATCGGATGTTGACAAACGCGGGTGGAATGAACAATCCAATGGCGAAGTTGAAAAGCCAGTTTCCGATCGCCGCGATACCCATTCCGGAAGCACGGGTTTCGAGTGACCAGACCTCAGCGGCGTAGACCCAGCAGATGGGTGCGAGGGTAAGAGCGTAGAACTAAGGTGCGGAATTAGTGTGGGTCATGTTCAGCTCGTAGAGGTACTTACGATGATCAAAAGATACGAGAACGCGATAACGGTGTACGCCGGCGATCCGGTGACCCTCATGACAACATTCGCGTCGCCACCAACACCCTCAGGGACATACGTGGAGAACCCGCCGAGCATTCCAGCTACGACCAGATGGCATATGCCCATCGCAATGGCTCCCCAAACCAGAAGTGTTCGCCGGCCGATCTTGTCGACGAAGAAAAACATGATGGACGAGAAGACGATGAACAAAGCGTACTGCACACCGGAGGAGATAAGCTTGGTGTTGCCTGTAAGACCAGCCATGGCGAAGATGTATACGACGTAGTAAGTCATGACCTGAGAACTGTTAGCAGGACGGTACCACGCGAAGTATGCTCAACATACATTAGCACCCGAAAGCTGCTGCCAGGCCTGGACGGAGAAACCGGCAAGAGTCCGTTTCCACATGCCGTTGTAGACGAACTTTCGCCATCCTTGGGGAGCTAAACGTTCTGCAGTGAGAGCAGTTACGATCTCCTCGTATTCGGCGATGACGTAGGGATCCTCGATGTTGCCGTCGGCTTGGATGGAGGCCAGGATGTGGATTGCTTCTTCTGTACGGTCGACCTTCGCGAGCCATCGGGGAGACTCTGGGAGGAATGGGAGACCGATCATGAACATGACGCAGGGGACGTATTGAATTCCCCAGGCCGTGCGGAATGAAGCTGACTCGCCAGGGATGAAAGTACATCCGTAACCTATGAAGTACCTGCGACCTTTTAGCTTGGGCTTACTTCGTGTGTTCAGTGTACTTACATGATAAGAATACCCCACTCAATAGCAAGTTGTTGAATGATAATGATGGCACCACGCTGCGAGTGCTTGGAAATTTCGGCCAGGTAGACAGGAACCTGAGACGAAGTGATACCGACAGTGACTCCATTCAATACACGACCGGCGATAAGCATGCCGCGACCATTTGTAGCAACCTGCAGCGCAGTTCCGACTAGCCACCAAAGACAGGCGAACATAAGGGCATCGCGACGACCAAACTTGTCGGAGATAGGACCAGCAATAGCACTGCCAACCACTGAACCCGCAGCAAGGGCCGCGCCAATAGCTCCCTGAACGACGCCGGTTGGGTTGTCGAAGTAGGTGCTGTTCGTTATTAGGGATCAATAAGTGAGGTGTTTGACGTCACTGCGACTTACAGATATTGGTCACTCGGAATGATGGCACTCATCGAAGAGATATCGAAACCGAAGAGCATGCCTCCCATCGTGGCAACAATTGCCAAGAAGTAGACATTGTAAATCTTAGGAAACCTTTCGAACATCTTGACCGGGACCTGTCCAGAGCCTTGGGTTGATGCAGAGATGGCAGTCGTTCGACCTGTCGATCCACAGACGTGGGGAGGGTCGAATATAAAGGTCGAGAAAGTCGGCACTACACGCCGCTGTGCTCGACGTGACAATCATATCGCTTGAAGCAGTCGTCTCCACTCGAGTCCTTGCTCCGCATGGAGACTCCATACTCGTTGGTCATAGCCTGGACAGCCAGGTAAAATGGTTAAAATGGTTTTACCGACCCAAGTATAGCGGCCGCATGCCGAGAAGCCTGCCGTCTTGACCATCGGAGAGAAACGAGATCGAGTCAGTGTCGGAGCTCGTGTGATTTGTGGAAAAACGATTCTGGGGTTAGGCTGGAGGCGGAGAAAGACGCGCTCAGGCCCGGAGAGTTGTGGAGATCGCCTCACCCGCGTTGTGCATGTGTGGATGTCGTCAGTGGCATCTTAACCGAACCGGCGGCTCTTTTTGCAGACTGCCGGGATCCGACTAAGGTGGTTGCTTCGATGCGCGATGTTACATGTGACTGGAGATGTTTCCTGAGCAGGTGGTGCTTCCGATTAATGTTGCGGGTGATTGGGCAGGAATGCGCTTGAAGGTTCAGAACGTACGACGAAGCGCGATCGTTGCTCTTCTTGGCAACGCTGGCTCTCCCGACTTTCACCTTGCCATCGCGACACCATCAACGGCGATGCATCGCAGTCGCATCGCATTGGGGTGGGATGATTTGCGACAAAGGAGATGTTCTGTGGAAGCGATTTTGTTGATGATACTCGTCTGTCGCATGCACAGGCGCATCTTCTATCGGCGCAGATCCAAGATGCCTTCTCATGATCGGAGTCGTGACGAACATCGGACTTGCTCATCGATGATCGGGCTTTCTTGCTTCAGATGTCCGCGTTTGGGCTAACCTATTGTGTCGCCCTGCGCGTCGACCAGGATTCTCACAACATGGGAATGTTGAAGCGGGACGACTCAGAAAGTCAGGCCATTCGCCATGATACGCGTACGAATCTTGCTTCGATCACAGCGCCGTGATAGCAGGCTTGGCTTGGAAATTCATACACCTAGCCAATCTACAGTATGCACGTAAATAAAGAAAGGCTTTGAGTGCGTATTGACAACAGACTTGACAACATGAACGTCGTAGCCGAGATAAAGCCCGCAGCAAACGTGAGCTGGTGAGAAAATGCGAAGAAATGGTTGCGACAGTGTTTGGCCGTCTTGCTGCGTATAACGCCTATGTGCGTGATGTATGATATACTTCCTGAACATGTGGCGCATACTTGAGAAGATATGCGAGCCGTGCGAAGGCGAAATGCCAGAGATGGTCTGCGTCATCAACTCTCGATTGCGACTATATATCGCACCACGCTGTTCCTCATACAAGATTATTACAATCCACTCCATCTCTCATCGTTGTTTTAGATCGAGCACGGCTGCGTTCAAGTGCTTCGCGCGAACAAAGAATCGCGAAGAATGGGAGAGACGTATCAAGCAGACGTCGCCTTGAAACTTGCCCCCTAACCTCCAAATTCTCCAAATTTTCCTTCGATACACCGTACCAGCTATACTCGACAATCGCGATCCTCCAGGGTTCGGTAATAGCGATAGTACCCATGCGAAGATTTGGTGTTCGAGCAACAATCTGCCGCCACTGGTCCGCCTAAGCCCACGGCTAATTTCGGCCACGTCAACCATCACTGGCATCAAATGCACACTTCCGATGGCTAGAACCCCACAATTTTCAGTGGACTGTTCGAGACATCCACAACAGATGAACCGGCAATGCATTTATTTACATAAATTTTGCCAATTTCTCCATCAACAAGAACAACAGCTCCACAGCAGTTGCCTTCTGGTCTTATGGTAGGCGCCACACGACGTTCACCATGCACACCATCTAACAAATACCAGGTCTAGTGGTATGATTCTCGGTAAGCTCTCACTGTACGAACTGGATGTAAGACAATTACTAACTCCCTACCAGCTTAGGGAAAGCATCTTCGGATACTTGCAAACCCAAGCATAGCTTGCGAGAGGCCCCGCGTTCGAGTCGCGGTAAGACCCATTTTTTGCACTTCGAGCGGTCACAGTACGCCCTGCCGACACCGTTCAAGTTCTAAAGGCTTAGAAAAACATCTCTAGCCTTTAGGAAGACACTGCTACGCATATATGCAGAAAAATAACTTTTTTTGCCTACTTAGGTCTACCGCACAAGGACCTCAAAGATTCACTCTGCAAGACCTATAGCGTGACTAAGACACTCTCACAATCACGTCTTGAAACCTTCAAAGCTATTCTTCAGCGTGTTTCCAAAGCCGTAAGAAGGATAATTGTTTTTAACAGTCTTATAAATTTGCCGTGCTTAGAAAATTCTGTAGTTAAACCTCACAGCTATTGTGCAACTACTCTCAATCCTCACTCTTCATGAATTTCTACTATTGTATCCTCCTTGTGTTTGTTTGCTTTTCCACGCGTCTTCGTATAGTCTTTTCGTAGCGTGCAAAGTGGAACCGTGATCAGGGGTCAAAGCGCGAACCCTCCTGCTGCAAGTAGAAAACCACAAAACCTTGAAAACAACAACGTCACCTCATACCTCAAAACATCAAAAACAACACCAACTCTCCGGTTCACAGCATTCTCAATTGAAGATGCAGTGGCGATGGGATTACCCCAGCCCGAATGAATACATCGTCGGCGCGTGGGAGCCGAAGACGTCGAATCACAAGTGAGTTTGCATACGGTACCTGCATGTTTAATTGGGCTTGGCTAACTTGAGGTAGTTTCTGTGAAGAAGTACGCAGAATGAACCAAAGAGACGTGCATCATGAAAACTGATTATGATTCAGGACTACATAATAACGCCCTACATCGGCGAATTTATAAACACCCTCACAAACATAACCTACGGTCCGCCCATCCCCATTCCCCCTCCCCCCTCTTCCCCAAACTCACTCTCCACCCCAGTAATCTACGGCCTCCACGGCCTCCGCCACGTCGCCCCCAAACCAACCGGCGGCCTCATCTCCACCCTCGCCTTCCCCTACTGGGGCCTGATTTCCGTCGGCCTCCTCTCTGCGTGGTTCCACGCAACACTAAAATACCATTCGCAAATGGGCGACGACCTATCCATGTTCCTGGCCGTCGGCGCCATCTTGCACCAACTGCTTTGTTTCAAAGCTACGGTAAACGAACGACGCAAGTACACGGCGTATATCCTAGGAAGTCTGATTCCCGTATCCGTGTACCACGTCTGGGCCGATGAAATCATTCTGCATGAGATTGCGTTTGCGGTCATGATTTTCTTGGTGAGTAAGTACACGCGTGCGCTTATTAAAGTGCAAATCACGTCCGAAGAAGCTCGCAAGAAACTCGGGAGGATGGCTACTTTTGGTATCTCAACTGGTCTCTTCGGATACTTCTTGTGGAACATTGATTTCCATGCGTGTTACTACGTTACAGTCTTCAAGAGATGGGTGGGACTGCCCTGGGGCTTTCTGTTCGAATTGCATGGGTGGTGGCATATTTTCACGGCGATTGGTGCGTATGTGGGTATGGCGCTTGTGGAGTATCTTGTTACGATTGAGGAGGGGAAGACGGGGAGGGTGGAGGAGGGGTTTGTGTGGCCGGTTAGGGAGGTGTTGAGGGATTTGGATGGGGTTGAGAGGAGGGGGGTTGAGGGGAAGAAGATGAAGTGAGGATGTTGGGAGTGAGATGTGTGCTGAGGGATGACGGGTTGGGCTGGTTGGCTTTGTATTGTACTTGTGCTATTGTGTAGCGTTCTAGAGGTGGAGACGTGATGCGAGGAAGCTGGCTTTTTTGGGGTGTACCTGAAAAGCATTCTAAATCTATCTCAAGGGTACATGCAATATCATATCTGCAACTGCTTTGCTAGCAACTACCAGGAACCACGGAAGGCGTTCTTCGCATTGCCAGTCATGTATCAACCACAAGTACCTCACAGCTCATCCACCTTCCGTCCCGATGCCATCTCATAACTCCAGCTTACCAACCCACCCTCCTATGCATCCTCAAATCCCCCCAAGTATCATGCACCGCGCGAACGTTCCGCTGGAGCTATCATGGTAAAGTCCATCTTCTCCCGCCACATCGGCGCTTAATTGGCCGGCCGGAGTTAAGATCTCAATGGACCCGGCAGATGCAGGTAGCAAGTGGAGCCCGCGTCATCAACACCCAGTTACATAAAAATGACTTCGGGCCCGAGAAGACCGCCTGTTCGACATAAAGACTCGGTGGCAGAACGATTGACAGGACATCACACGATACCAACAGCGACACAATCCATTGAGGTGTTAGAGTGATAAATTTGCCGGATTTCTATCTACCCCACTACCAGTCTCAAAACTTCAAAGAAGCACCGAAGATGCCTGAACTTGTCGGAAAGACTGTAGGTCAAGTTGGCTACGGCCTCATGGGTATGCATCATTACCTACCTCGCAATCGCTTCGCTAACGCATCACAGGCCTGACATGGCGCAAGAACCCACCACCAGCCGAACAGAGCTACGAGGCCATGCGCACAGCACTCTCACTCGGCGCGAACAACTGGAACGGCGGCGAGCTCTACGGATCCCCGGAGCGTAACTCCCTGCACCTCCTCAACGAGTACTTCACCAAGTACCCCGGCGACGCAGAGAAGGTCGTTTTGTCTATCAAAGGAGGTCTTAAGAAGGGTGAAATGGCACCCGATGGCAGTCGGGAGAACGTCAGGCGCAGCATCGACGAGTGCTTGAAGGTGCTGGATGGCAAGAAGAGCCTCGATCTATTCGAGTGCGCCAGAGTCGACCCCAAGACACCCATCGCAGACACTGTTGGCTACATCGCAGAGTATGTCAAGGAAGGCAAGCTCGGCGGCATCAGCTTGTCAGAGGTTGGTGCGCAGTCGATCCGCAAGGCGCATGCCGTGCACCCCATCTCGGCCGTTGAGGTCGAGTTCTCGCTCTGGGCGACCGATATTCTGGAGAACGGTGTCGCAGCGACATGCGCAGAGCTCGGTATCCCTATCATCGCGTACTCTCCTCTTGGACGCGGATTCCTGGTAAGCGCATCTCTTCTCGCCCAACGACTTACGCTAATGTATTACAGACTGGAAAGTACAAGAAGTACAGCGACATCGAGCCCGACTCCATGCTTCAGCATATGCCCAGGTTCCAGCCTGACGTATTTGACGAGAACATCAAGTTGCTCCACGCTGTCGAGGATATGGCGAAGGCCAAGGGAGCCACACCAGCTCAGATTGCCATCGGCTGGGTTCTCGCGCAGAGCGGTGCCAAGGGTATGCCAACCATCATCCCAATTCCTGGTGCTACGACGTCGGAGAGGATCGAGGAGAATATGAAGCCGGCGAAACTCAACGACGAGGACATGAAGGCGCTGGACGAGATGCTGAAGAAGTTCCCGCCGATTGGAGGAAGGTACCACGAGTCGCAGTCGGCATTGCTGTTCGCATAGACAACTAAGGATCTAGTCTGAAGCTTGTTAGCACTGTAGCTGTAATATAGCAAGCTTAAGATTGTGTATAGAATTGCAGATCAGAAAGAATTGTAGTGTAGAGTTAATCCGCATTTGAGCCGCCGTGAAGCGACTCTTTGGAATTGCAGAACTCTGGAATAGATCATCATAGTGATGAGATGAAGGAGACGGTGGAAGAACTTACCTATAGCCGTTTGCGTGGTGTTAGAGGGAGGTAGAGCAAATTCACATCGCACCCAGCCTCGTTACCGTGGTAAAGAATGGAGACGTCCAAATGGACGTTCGCCCGACGAATGAGCGCCGTCGCATAGCCAACTGACCAAGGTACAGCTTGGTGTGATTACAATTGAGTGATCACAAGGCGAGGAGGAAGGAAGAGGAGGGAAGTAAGCTGCCCAAAAATATCGAGCTAAACGGGTGGTCCCTGCACCTCGGGCTAGACGTCGAACGCGCCGTACAGCCATCGTCACGCTCTCCAAACGCGCCCACCGCTACATTCACATCCACATCAATCGCCGCCATGGAGTCGCCTTCAGAACTCTCCGAGTACGGCAGCGACGATTTTCCCGAGGACATTAAAGGAGGTCGCCATGCCAGCTACGAAGCCACTCCTGACCACGACCAGCGCCCCAACAAGCGACCACGCCTGAATATCCGCGCGCCATCTTCACCGCCCCATATCAATACCATGCCGCCCGAGGAAGAGGACGAGCTGTCGGAAGACACCGATGGCTCAGTCCCCGCATCGCCACACCACCACCCGGGCATGTCGCAAGACGACGACTACGGCCAGGAACAGGTGACTGTCTGCAAATGGGACGGCTGCACGGCGGGTGACCTGCAGAACATGGACAACCTCGTCGAACATCTTCATGAAGACCATATCGGTACACGGCAGAAGAAGTATAGTTGCGAGTGGAGCGACTGCACAAGAAAAGGCATACCCCATGCTAGTGGCTATGCGCTGAGGGCACATATGCGCTCGCATACGAGGGAGAAGCCATTCTACTGCACCCTTCCAGGTAAGTCGCCAGACCCATCTCTATGGCATCCGTCATACTAAGTCCCCCAGAATGCGACCGTTCCTTCACCCGCTCCGACGCGCTGGCGAAGCATATGAGAACCGTCCACGAGACCGAAGCACTGCGCCCCTCGGACCCCGTCCCCAAGCACCACTCCTCCAACCCCACAAACAACAAGCAGCGCCTCAAGCTCGTCCTCAACAACGAAGCCAAGAAGCTGCCGCACGACAAAGGCTCAACACCCGGGTCGCCCTCCTCACACTCGCACCCGCCGAACAGCGCGACCATTCCGTCCAACGCACCCGCCCCCGCCCCCGACGCCGACTACGCCCACAACAACGTCATCTACCTGCAAGACCTCGCCAACCCCTCCGCCCCAGCCCTCGTCCAATTCCCACCGGACATCGAATTCACGCCCGAAGAGCTCCAGCGACCCGCCCCCGAACTCTTCCAACTGCTCCGCCGCCAACTCCTGTGGGCAACGCAAGAAGGCGAACAACTGCGCGCCGAAGCCGAAGAGCTCGAACACACCCGCCAGGAAGAATGGCAAGCCAAAGAACTCCTCTTCGAGAACTACATGGAAGCACAAGCCGCAACCGAGCGACGGCGCCGCGTCGATCAAGGCATGCCCGACGACATGGAAGGCTGGCAATCCGTTGAAAACGACATCCAGCCCGCGAAAGCCCTGCCCATCCTACCCAGAGAAGGGAAACTGCCGTGGTGGCGCGACGACACTCAGCAACAACCGCGGATTAAGGAGGAAGCGGTTCAGCCTAGACCGCCTCCCGCGCATATCCAACCTATCGAAGAGCCCCAGCCTCAGGTTTCCGTTCCGTAGTCTGGGCTGGAATATCTGGATCCCGCGGAGAGGGATATGGCTCTGCAGTTGCAGCAGCGTATACATCATCGTAGGTTGGATGCGCTGCGCTTGCGTCAAATTCCTATGTCGCAGGCTTCGCTGGAATATCTAGGTCTGGTGGATCGTGTTGCGTGGTTGGATGCGGAGGCCGTTCATTGGCGTGACCGCTGTCTTGCGGTGGAGGAGCAGTTGAATTACAGGGGCCCGGCCAGGCCGCGTTATGCACATGGGTGAGCGGCGAAGGTGTTGGCATAATAGAGCGCGGCTGCGACGAGGCGGCGGACAAGTGCGTAGCTCTGGCGTTGAGGGAGATGACGGTGCCATGCCCTCTTGTTTTTCGATAATACTTTTGTATTACTACTATGGGATAGAAACCTGGGTGTTCACGGGTCTTTGGGTACATTCAAGGTTTAAAGATACCAATTCATTCAATGCTTCCATAGTATACAACTTCCATCTCAATAATCCGTGTCTGGCAATTTCCCAATGCCAGTTTTCCATGCCTTGCTCCTGCATAACTCCCATTGTATGCCTATTCGCCGTTGCAGACATGCCTTCCGTGCCCTCCCCGCCTACCCGCAGCATGCCTTATGACCCCTTGAAGCCGGCAAAGGCTCCATAGATGGAGAGTAAGCATCTACCTACCCTTCTTCTTCTCCGCCTCAGCGTTCTTGAACGGGAAACCAGACGTCCTCTTATCCGCGCCAGTCTTCCTGCTAATCCGTCCGTTGCTGCTCGCAAACAAAATGCACCATAGCGCCACTATAGCCAGGAAACCGGAACCTAGTGTGCCCAAGCTGAAGGCCATGACACCGGTGCGCGTCCACATGGCGTAGCCGTAGAAGGCGAGGGCGGAGTGGAACATGGCGGTTACGGTGAGCGTGGGGAGGGCGTAGGGTGCTTTCGGGTCTTCTTCGTTGGTGGTTGCGCCTGTGGTTATGTTAGTTTGGTGTATGGAGGTGGTGGAATGGGAACAAGAAGGGGAACGCACCTTCAGAGAGTCGACTAGACAATGGAACAGACCCCGTGAGGAGGACAGTCAGGATACCCAGAGCGATGAGCGAGAGGCCCAGGGTACGGGAGAAGTAGACTTCGAGAGCTGATCATCCTCGTTAGCATCTCATCGCTCCAACATGTTTCCCGGTCTTTCGTATATACGTACTGGAAGCTTCGCGGACTTCGGGGGACAACAATGCTACTATCATCGTTGGGGACGCGATCAGAGGCGCGGCTTGGGTCGCTGTATTTCTGTTAGCAAGCTGTACGATATCCCCGCGGAAGGAGAGAGAGCTTACCCAGCCATGCGGCAGTGCCGTAGGAGTAGA